AATAATAATAATAATAATAATAATAATAATAATAATAATAATAATAATAATAATAATAATAATAATAATTTTATACTGGCCAGCTGGCTGCCAGGGCCAATCTGGGTGGTTTACAACAACAAAAAACAAACAAACAGATAAACAGTAATAGAAGACAGTAAACACAATCACAATCAAAACAAACATTACCTGAACATAAACTGGGAGGACAGATCCCGAAACTGATCACTGCAGAGGGTGACAGCAGCCAGGAAATTAAAAGACACCTGCTTCTTGTGAGGAAAGCGATGACAAAACTCGACAAGATCTTAAGAAGCAGAGACATCACCTTGCCGACAAAGGTCCGCAGAGTCAAAGCTATGGTTTTTTCTGTCGTGATGTACGGAAGTGAGAGCTGGACCATAAAGAAGGGTGACCGCCGAAGAATTGATGCTTTTGAAATGTGGTGCTGGAGGAGGCTCTTGAGAGTCCCCTGGACTGGAAGGAGAACAAACCTATCAATTCTAAAGGAAATCAAACCTGAGTGCTCAGTGGAAGGACAGATCCTGAAGCTGAGGCTCCAATCCTTTGGCCATCTGATGAGAAGAGAAGACTCCTTGGAAAAGACCTCGATGTTGGGAAAGTGTGAAGGCAAGAGGAGAAGGGGACGACAGAGGACCAGATGGTTGGACAGGGTCATTGAAGCCACCAACATGAATCTGACCCAACTCTGGGAGGCAGTGGAAGATAGGAGGGCCTGGCGTGCTCTGGTCCATGGGGTCACGAAGAGTCAGACACGACTTAACGACTAAACGACAACAACAAAACATAAACTAGCAACAAATTTCCAGACCTGCCGTGGTGGGGAGGTAGTGGCTTCCCAGATGTTGAACCTCAACGTGCATCAGCCCTGATCACGAGTGAAAGGGATAGATGCAGGACTCCCAACGCTGTCTGGAGTGCCACAATTTCCCCTTCCTTGCCCTCCTTTATAATTGCTATTGAGAATTCAAGTGCACTTGAGTTCCAGTGGGCAGAGTAAGCCTTTATATGGGTGAGTGTGGTAAAACGCCAGTATGGTGTGAAGGGTATGGTGTTGGAGTAGGACTCCGGAGATCTGGGATCAAATCCAGATCTTAAAATTAAATAAATTTTAACTTTATTTAAATAGTTTTAATTTCTTTTAAATGCCACCATTCTTTCAATGGTCTGAAATTTAAAGCATTTTTTAAAAAGTGTTAAATGGGTGAAATGAAACTTACTGGAATTTGGTGACTTTCTAAAGTCCTTGTGGAAATGTATTTATTTAGTTATTGAATTTCAGGACTGCTCCTCTTGACAATGGTCCCTCTGGGCAATCAGAAGAAACAACTATGCAGCATACAGTGGACCCTTGACTTACAGATAATCTTTCCATTCACATAGGACACGTTTCTTCTCTTGTGAAAAGGATTCATATAGCACTTCAGATGGTTCCAATTCCTCCCCAATCAGAAGAAACAACTATGCAGCATACAGTGGACCCTTGACTTACAGACGGCTTGACTTACAGACTTTTTGAGTTACAGACTTCTCTGGCCGCAAAATTTAGGTTGGACTTGTAGCCTGAGAATTGACTTACAGACCAGAAAAAAACCAAAATGGAACAAAAACGGCCTGTTACGGGATTAATCGGTTTTCAATGCACTGTAGGTCAATGGAGACTTGACCTACAGACTTTTTGACTTGAGAACTGCCTTCCAATACGGATTAAGTTCTCAAGTCAAGACCCCACTGTACAACATAAAATTTACAATAAAGTTTAAATTTAAATTAATTGGATGGCTGCAAATATTAAACACAAACTCAAATCAGTCTCTGTAAGTCAAACTTTAATAGAAAAACATGATAGGTAAAAGGAGAAGAAGATCCAACAGTCTTTCAGGTACAGGCTTTTTTACTTCTATTTTTACACCTTCATATGTGCAGATTCATTTGAAGAGTGCAAGTTTGAAGAACTAACTGTAATACGTAATTGAACTGAAAGTGAGGGAGTAATGTTTGTAAGAGTAAAGAACGTTCTCAGAATAACTCTTTTCTACCCAAAACAAGTTGGCTGAAACTGTATATATTCTTGGTACCGTAATTTTGTCATCACTTCTTCTCATAGTGAACTCCTAGATGAAGTGTTGATATGACTTCAGCCAAAATAGGTACACTGAGAAATGAGAGAGATAACTGGATGCTGAAGCGAACTGTGATGTTTGCAGAAGTAGAAAACAACTTTTTTTTGGTGGAGGTGTGGGACCCTTATGGCCTAATGAAGACAAAGCATGCTGAGACGCCACAAAATATTGAGCATCCGTGCAAGGGAAAGAGGAATGGCTTGCATCAGGGAGTGGGGGGCTACAACCTTGACACAGAATGTTCTGTCTTAAGACCAAAGGTAAATTGCAATCTTTTGTTCCCGGCCACACACTGATACTAAACTGAGTCAAACTACTCCACACACTAGAACTAGTTTAATTATTCTCTGGCTTGAGCCCTTTGTAAATCTAAGTAATTCATGATCACCATCATAAGAAAGTCTTGAGAAAAATGCTACACTGAAAGCAGGCAGTTTTTGTTTTTTGTGTTAAGCCCCACATTTCTTCAAGAGGAATCCAAATTTGGAGCCATCTGGGCCACATTTAAAAGGATATTTAGTGGGATCTATTTTATCTTGCCCTTGAATAATCTTTCCATTCACCTAGGACACGTTTCTTCTTTCGTGAAAAGGATTCATGTAGCACTTCAGATGGTTCCAATTCCTCCCCCTTTCAATTTTTGATACCCCCTCTCCTACCCATCTCTCCTCTTGTTTCACGGCTGTCATTCTGCTTACCTTTTTGTGTGTGCTTTTAATTTAGTAAGTGGCATAGTGCTGCAGCAATATATCAGCCTAATATGGACACTCCCTTATATCTGAAATAGCGCTGCATCACTTAGGAGAATATTATAAAAATTGTGAGAAGAGGAAAATAGAGGAAACAGTTTCTCCTCCATCCTTTCTATTGTCACAACCTACTGCATACGTCACAGGGTTGTCACTGAAGAGAATGCTGTCCACAGCTCTATTTGGGAGCAAGTTAAGCAACCATAAAGACTGCAGAACAGGATAATCAGGAGCGCTCCCAGATGCACCAGATAAACTGCAGCCCTACCACTGTGTAAGAAAGGTTTGGGACAACTTGCCAAAGGATGAATTGCTCTTACTTAAAAGACATGTGGCCTCCAAAAAATAGGGCAAATCAAACCACATCAAAAGCAAACCAAATAACACACTGTATGCTTGTCTAAATACCCCCTTAGGGCCTGGTCACACAGCCGAAAAAAACTGGGATTTGACCTGTGTTAAAAACTGCTGAGTTTCATGTTTAGACAACAACTTCCCAAGTGTGTATTTATTTTCTTCTGACTTGGTTAATTTTCTTAGGAAGTGAGTTAAAATAAATGACCACCAGAGAGGGCTGTTTATTTTCTCGTGTTGTTTTCTAAAGCCACCTAAGCCCAATTGTGAATGTTACAGCTGGTTTTTAAAAGGAAGCATTTCAAATGTACTTAATAGGAATGCAGGAAACACTTTAAAAACCGTGTGATTTGAGTCAGCTAAAGTTAAAATGCTACATATTGTATTGTGTGTATGTGTTTTTTTAGAAACGTAGAGAGCCATTTATATGAATAGTTTAGTCTCTGCATTCTGTGATTGTTTAGGACAGAAGTTGGGCAAAGTCTGGGGGCCGTGGGGCTAGTTGTCAGCTCCTGCATCTGTCATTTAGGAACTGACATTCACTAAGAAGTTTCCACTTTTCCTTGGTGGGGGCAGTCCAGAGACCATGGAGGACCACACAGACAACTAGGATAGAGGCCACATGCAGCCCATGAACAGTGGCATTCTTTTAGGATGTGGCTGTCTATGATTAGATAATGCCTGAAATTATGTTAACCTTTGTTCTGATATGGGTTGTTTTTGTAATGTGGACTTGTTATTTTACTGGCTTTTTAATTTTAAGTTGTTTCCAACCAAGAGATTCTTTGTTATCAAAGAACTAATAAATGTAATGTATTTTTTTTAAAAATTCCCACTCCTGCAGGATCCTAGGCAGTTCAGCGACATGAATTAAGCTGCAGCAATATATCAGCCTAATATGGACACTCCCTTATATCTGAAATAGCGCTGCATCACTTTGGAGAATATTATAAAATTGTGAGAAGAGAAAAATAGAGGAAACATTTTCTCCTCTATCCTTTCTATTGTCACAACCTACTGCATACGTCACAGGGTTGTCACTGAAGAGAATGCTGTCCACAGCTCTATTTGGGAGCAAGTTAAGCAACCATAAAGACTGCAGAACAGGATAATCAGGAGCGCTCCCAGATGCACCAGATAAACTGCAGCCCTACCACTGTGTAAGAAAGGTTTGGGACAACTTGCCAAAGGATGAATTGCTCTTACTTAAAAGACATGTGGCCTCCAAAAAATAGGGCAAATCAAACCACATCAAAAGCAAACCAAATAACACACTGTATGCTTGTCTAAATACCCCCTTAGGGCCTGGTCACACAGCCAAAAAAAAAAACACTGGGATTTGACCTGTGTTAAAAACTGCTGAGTTTCATGTTTAGACAACAACT